AGGATAGGATAGGATAGGATAGGATAGGATAGGATAAGCAGTGTTGAGAAAGGATGGATGGGATGGGCAGCGATGGGATGGGATGGGATGGATAGGGTAGGATAGGATAGGGTAGGGTAGGGTAGGGTAGGGTACGGTAGGATAGGATAGGGTATGGTAGGATAGGATAGGATAGGGTAGGGCAGGATAGAATAGGATAGGTTGGGCAGTGATGGGAAAGGATGGATGGGATGGGCAGCAGTGGGAAAGGATGGATGGGATGCAATGGGATGGGATGGGCAGCAATGGGAAAGGATGGATGGGATGGGATGGGCAGCAGTGGGAAAGGATGGATGAGATGCAATGGGCAGCAGTGGGAAAGGATTGATGGGATGCAATGGGATGGGATGGGCAGCAATGGGAAAGGATGGATGGGATGGGCAGCAGTGGGAAAGGATGGATGGGATGGGATGGGATGAGATGGTTTGTGATGGGTGGCACTGGGATGCAGCTGGCGGCACTGGGTGGCACTGGGAGCACTGCCCAGGCTCACCCCTGTCTCCTGCAGTTACTATGGGCTGACCGTGTGGTTCCCGGACATGATCAAGCACCTGCAGAACATGGACTACGCCTCCCGCACCAAGCTCTTCACGCGCGAGAGGCTGCGGCACTTCACCTTCAACTTCACCCTCGAGAACCAGATCCACCGCGGCGGAGAGTACTTCAATGACAAGTGTGTCCTGAGGCCCTTCCCGCTGCTCCTGCCCCATCCCAGCTCATCCCAGCTCATCCCAGCTCATCCCAGCTCATCCCGCCCCTTCCCACCCCACCAGGTTCATCGGCCTGAAGATGAAGTCGGTGACGTTTGAGGACTCGCTCTTTGAGGAGTGCTACTTTGAGGATGTCACGTCCAGCAACACCTTCTTCAAGAACTGCACCTTCATCTCCACCATGTTCTACAACACGGGTCAGCGGGGCCAGGGCTGGAGATGGGCCCCAAAGGGGTGGAGATGGGATGGTCTCCAAAAACGGAGGTGGTGGAGATGGGAGTCGGGGTGAGGATGGTCCCCAAAGGGATGGAGATGAGGAGATGCCACCAAGATGGTCCTCAAAGTGATGGAGATGGGACGGTTCCCAAAGCAGGGGGTGATGGAGATGGGGGTCAGTGTGAGGATGGTCCCCAAAGGGATGGAGATGAGGAGATGCCACCAAGATAGTCCTCAAAGTGATGGAGATGGGATGGTCCCCAAAGGGATGGAGATGGGGGTGATGCCACCAGAATGGTCCCCAAAGGGATGGAGATGGGGGTGACCCCATGAAGATGGTCCCCAAAGCAGGGGGGTGATGGAGATGGGTGTCAGGATGAGGATAGTCCCCAAAGGGAAGGAGATGGGGGGGATGCCACCAAGATGATACCTAAAGTGAAGGAGATGAATTGGTCCCCAAAGAAGGGGATGATGGAGAGGGGGGTGACACCACCACGATGGGCCCCGTGGAGATGGGATGGTCCCCAAAGTAAGGGTTGATGGAGATGGGGTAAGGATGGTCCCCAAAGGGATGCAGATGGTTCCCAAGTCGGGGGTGATGGAGATGGACCTGACCCCACCAAACCTTCTCCATGCCCACAGATCTCTTTGAGTACAAGTTCATCAACAGCCAGGTGGTGAACAGCACCTTCCTGCACAACAAGGAGGGCTGCCAGCTCGACTTCAGCGATGACAACAACGCCTACATGATCTACTTCGTCAGCTTCCTGGGCACCCTGGCCGTCCTGCCCGGGAACATCGTCTCTGCCCTCCTCATGGACAAGATCGGCCGCCTTCGCATGCTGGGTGGGCATCAAGGATGCTGAGATCCATAGATCCATAGAATAGGTTGGAAGGGACCTTGAAGCTCATCCAGCTCCCAACCAGGACACCTTCCACTAGAGCAGGTTGCTCCAAGCCCCATCCAACACTTCCAGGGCTGCCCAGAGAAGGGTGGATGCTCCAGCCATGGAGACACTCAAGGCCTGGAGCAACCTGCTCTGGTGGAAGGTGTCTCTGCCCATGGCAGGTCAAGATGGTCTTGAAGGTTCCTTCCAACCTACCCAATGGGTCTACAACCATGGTTTCCTGTGGGTGAGGAGGGTGCTTGTCCCCATTGCACCCCCTGACGAGTCCCATGTCCTTTCCAGCCGGCTCCAGCGTCATGTCCTGCGTGAGCTGCTTCTTCCTGTCCTTTGGGAACAGCGAATCAGCCATGATCGCGCTGCTCTGCCTCTTCGGTGGCGTCAGCATCGCCTCCTGGAATGCCCTCGATGTGCTCACTGTGGAGCTCTACCCCTCCGATAAGAGGTGCGGGGCCTATGGGGGCCGGGGGGGAGGTTTCAGGTCCTGGGTGCAAGGTTTTGGGTGCTGGGTGCCAGGTGTTGCCATGCTGAGGGGGGAGGTTTTAGGTCCTGGGTGCCAGGTTCTGGGTTGGGTACCAGATGTGTTGCTGGCTGCCAGAGGCACTGCTGCCTGGCAGATGTTGGATGCTGGCTGCCACATCTGGGTACCGCATCCCGGCTGCGCTGCTGGGTACCACACCCCAGGTACCCCCTGCCCCAGCACACTGGGCCTGATGGGGACCTCACCTCCATGGGTGCCCCCCCATCCATGGGTGCCATCCCAACACGTTGTCTCCCCGCAGGACGACGGCGTTTGGGTTCCTGAACGCTCTCTGCAAGCTGGCGGCCGTGCTGGGCATCAGCATCTTCACCTCCTTCGTGGGCATCACCAAGGCCGTGCCCATCCTCTTGGCCTCGGCTGCGCTCGCCCTCGGCAGCTCCTTGGCCCTCAAACTACCCGAGACCCGGGGGCAAGTCCTGCAGTGATGGGGGGGGACCCCCGTAATCCTTCCCTTAACCCCCCCCCCCCCATTCCCAAATCCCAGCTCCCCTTCCGGGGGGATTAGTCTCGTTAGACACTGTGAAACGTCTTCTTGGAGCATTTGGGATCTTCATTTGCACTTGGACGCCCCCATACCCCTGGCACCCCCCCCCCCCCGATTTCCTCCCTTGATGTCATCCCTCTGTGAATAGCTGCTCGATCCTGGGGGGGCTGGGGGGACCCCAACATCCCTGGGAGGAGGAGGAGGATGAAGGCTCCATGCCCCAGTTTCCCCATCTGGAAGGGCAGGGGAAGGGGTCCCCGTTGCACCCCCAAACCCAGGAGGATGGGGAACGGGGGGGGGGCACTGCAGTTTGGGGTACACCACCCTTGGGGGGCACATCCCCTTGGGGCACGGGGCAATTTGGGGTGCAGTGTCCCCCCCCCAACTACAGCTCGGTTTGAGGGGGTGCAAGGGGGGGCCCAGCTGTGTTTTGGGGTGCAGGGGGGATGCAGCCCCCTCAAACTGCCTTTATTTAGTGACTTTGAGCTCGTTCTTAAAGGATGCTCCTGTTTTGGGGTGCTGATGAGGGGGGTGCACCCTGGACCCCCTTCCCCCCCCAGCACCCCTTTACCCCCCAGCCCAAAGCACAAAGCCACCAGTGGTTTGCAAAGCACAAAGTGCCCCCCCCAAATAACGGGGTACATGGGGGCCCCTCCAGAAAGTGGGGTACGGGGGGGTCCCTGTCGCTGTGTGCCCCCCCAGCAGAGGATGGGAAGTGTTGGTCTATGCAAAAGCACTTTGGAAGCCCCCCCCCACCATGGGAAGCCCCCCACGATGTAGAGCAGCCCCCCCCAAGCGGTTGTGTGCTTCATCTCCTCCTCCTCCTCCCCCTTCCCCTTCCCCCATCCCTCGGTGTAGCTGGTCCAGGGGGGGCCCGACCCCCCCCAAGTTCTGTCCGTTCGCAGTTGTGCCGTGCTGTAGTTTTTAGATGTTTGTAAATTAATTAAAACAACAGAAAATCAATGGAAAAGTGCCCAAAATGAACTAAAATGACCCCAAATCCCCCCCCCAAATACTCACAAAATGACCCAAATCCCCTCCAAATGACCCAAAGTTCTCCAAATCTCCCCAAAATCCCTCCCAAGTGACCCAGAAGTCCCCAAATCCCTCCGAAAAGACCCCAAATTGCTCCAAAATGACCCTAAAGTCCCTAAATCTCCCCCAAAATGACCCCAAATCCTTTCCAAAAGACCCTAAATTCTCCCAAAGGACCCCAAATCCCCCCCAAAAGGCTCCAAAATGACCCCAAAGTCCCTAAATCTCCCCCAAAATGAACCCAACTCATTTACAAAAGACCTTGAATTCTCCCAAACGACTCCAAATCCCCCCCAAATGGCTCCAAAATGACCCCAAAGTCCCTAAATCTCCCCCAAAATGACACCAAATCCTTTCCAAAAGACCCTAAATTCTCCCAAATGACACCAAATCCCCCCCAAAACACCCAAAATGGCTCCGAAATTACCCCAAAGTCCCTACATCTCCCCCAAAATGACCCCAAATCATTTCCCAAAGACCCTAAATTCTCCCAAATGACACCAAATCCCACCCAAAACACCCCAAATGGCTCTGAAATTACCCCGAAGTCCCTAACCCCCCCCAAAAACGACCCCAAATCCTTTCCAAAAGACCTTAAATTCTCCCAAACGACCCCAAATGGCTCCAAAATGACCCCAAATTCCCTAAACCCCCCCAAATGACCCCAAATCCTTTCCAAAAGACCCTAAATTCTCCCAAATGACTCCAAATCCCGCCCAAAATGGCTCCAAAATGACCCCAAAGTCCCTAAATCCCCCGTAAAACGACCCCAAATCCTTTCCAAAAGACCTTAAAGTCTCCCAAACGACCCCAAATTGCCCCCCCCCCCCAATATTCCCAACCCATAGTGCCCCCAAACTCCCACTGGAATGATGCTCCACCTTCCACTTCCCAGTTGCTTCCATAGGAGTTTAATTTCGCGGGGGGGGGGTGGGCTGCACCCCCCATACCCAATCCCTTTCATGGGGGGTATTAATGTGGGGGGGACACCCCCAAACCCCCTTTAAAGCCGCTGGGCTCGATGCACAGAGGAGGGGGGGTCCCCCCATTAGATGTGGGTGTAAAGGGGGGGGGGGGTTCCTTTAGGGCTCCCCGGCGCCGTCCCCGCGCTGCTCGCGCTTGGACCCCCCCAGGCACGGGGGCCGCGGGGGGACGCTGGGGTCGCGCTCCCACTGCTGCGGGGTGCGCGCCACGATGGCGAGGGCGTGCAGGGGCCCCGCGAGCTCGGCGCTGAGCGCGGCGTGCACCAGGCGGTGGCGCTGCAGCGGGGGGAGCCCCTCGAAGCGGCCGCTCACAACCACCACGGCCAAGTGAGTGCCGGCCCCCGCTGCACCCCCGTGCCGGGGGCTCTCGTCCAGCACCTGCAGGTGCGAGGGCTCCAGCGCGGCCGCCAGCTTGGAGCGCACGGTGCGGGCCAAGGGGCCCTCGGTCATGGCCGCGCCCCCAGCAGCCAGCAGCGAGCCCCGCATCCGGTAGCGCCTGCAGGGGGAGAGAGGAATGGGGGGGGGGGGGATCAGAGGGAGGTTATGGGGGGGGGAAGGAGGGGAGATGGGGGGGTGAGGATCAAACCCCAATTATGGGGGGGAGAAGGAGAGGATGGGGATTGCTTGGGGGGGGGATTTGGGGGAGCCTTCAGGATCAGACCCCAGTTATGGGGGGGGCAGGAGGAGAGGATGGAGGGTGCTTGGGGGGGTGATGATCAAACTCCAATTATGGGGGGGGGCAGAAGGAGAGGATTAGGATTGCCTGGGGTAACATTTATGGGGGCCTTCAGGATCAGAGCCCAGTTATGGGGGGTGGGAGGGGAGGATGGGGATTGCTTGGGGGTGATTTGGGGGGGGCCTTGAGGATCAGAGCCCAGTTATGGGGGGCAGGAGGAGAGAATGGGGTTTCCTGGGGGGAGATTTAGGGGGGGCCTTCAGGATCAGACCAGTTATGGGGGGGCAGGAGGGGAGGATGGGGATTGCTGGGGGGGGTGAGGATCAAACCCCATTTATGGTGGGGGAAAGGAGGGGAGGATGGGGGGCTGCTTGGGGGGCTATTTGGGGGGGGTCCTTCAGGGCCAGACCAGTTATGGAAGAGGCAAGAGGGGAGGATGGGGTTTGCTGGGGGGGGGCTGAAGTTCAGACCCCAGTTATGGGGGGGGGGGGCAGGAGAGGCAGTTACATGGCAGGGGAGAATCAGATGCCAGTTATAGGGGGGGCAGGAGGGGGTTTGCTGGGGGCATGGATCTGGGGGGGCCTTGAGGATCAGACCCCAGTTATGGAGGAAGCAGAAGAGGAAGATGGGGGGAGGGGGGGCTTCATATCAGACCCCAGTTACAGGGGGCAGGAGATAAAGAGCTGCATGGGAGGGGGCTCCAGGCCCTCACTGATAACAGTGATAGGGGTGGGGGGGGCTGTATGGCGGGGTGGAGCTGGGGGGTAAGGATGAAACCCCAGTTATTGGGGGGGACAGGAGGGGACGATGGGGCTTGCTTGGAGGGGGTGGTGATGATGAGACCCCACTTATGGGGGAAGGAGGGGAACTGTATGGGGGGAGACTGTGATTCGGGGGGGAGGGCCTGTAGACCCAGGCCCCGTAAGTGGGAGGGGAAAAGGGGGTGCAGGGGGGGTCAAGGCCCAGCTTTGGGGGCGGGGAGCGAGAGGGGCCTGACCCCCTCAAACCCCATTTACCCCACATGTCGCCTCCCAAGCCCCATTTACCCCACATGGTGCCCCCCCAAACTGCCCAACCCCCCCACATGGCGCCCCCCAAGCCCCATTTACCCCACATGGTGCCCCCCCCCCCCAGCCCTCACCGCGGACGACTCCGGCTCCGCTCCGGCGCTGAGCACGCTGGGAAATGGAGTCGCCGCGGCCCGCCCCCGTCACGTGACCGCGTCAAAACTAGCGCTCCCAGAAGGCTTTGCGCCCGGGCCCCACAAACCCCGCCTCATCGCCTGACGCCACACCTTCCCTCTTCGGCCCCGCCCCTCTTCCCTCTGATTTGTGGAGAGCTTCCCTCGGCCCGCCCCCTCATGCCCTTATATGGCGTGGCGGGTTGAATGAGAGCGGGGCGTGGGTTTTGGCTCTATGGGATTGGGACCTGTCTCGTTCCTCCCCCCCGGGGCCGGACCTTCTCCTCCGCCCAAAGTGAACTTTTCCACCGCCTCCTCCCCCCGCAGCCCTTGCCAGTCCCCGACACCGCTTTTCCCGTCCGTCTCCCGGGAATCCTGCCCAGCCCGGGGCTCCTTCTCCTTTCCCGGACTCCCCTCTCTAGGCTAGGGACCTTTTATCACCCTTCTCTATCCCGGAGCTCCTCCCTGCATCCCGCATCCGCCTCTCTATCCCAGATAGTTCTCTCCATCCTCGGATCCCTTTCTCCACCATCCCTGGATCCCGGATCACTCTCTCCCTACCCGAACCCCATTTTCATCCCCGGCTCCTCCCGCTCCACCCCGGACCCCTTCCTCCATCCCGGACCTCCCCACCTCCATCCCCGCTTCCCCTTCTCCATCCCCTGCCCATCCCGGGGCTCTCCTCTCCCCGCCGGGGCTCCCCCCCCGGTCCCCCAGCATGGCTTTGGCGGCGGGGCCGTGGCCGGAGCCTCCTCTTCCTCCCGCTCCCCCCGCTCCTCCTCCTGCCCCCGGCGGCGGCGCGGGGCGGGCGGCGGGGCCGTGCCGGGTGTGCGGGGACCGGGCGAGCGGGAAGCACTACGGGCAGGTGACCTGCGAGGGCTGCAAGAGCTTCTTCAAGCGCTCGGTGCGGCGCAACCTCGCCTACAGCTGCCGGGGGGGCCGGGACTGCCCCGTGGACCAGCCCCACCGCAACCAGTGCCAGTACTGCCGGCTCCGCAAGTGCCTCCGCGTGGGGATGCGGAGGGAAGGTGCGGGAACGGGAGGGGAAACGGGTCGGGATGCGACGGGAGAAGGAGAAGGGATGGAAAGGGTAAAGGGGCAGAGAGGGGATGGAGAAGGGATGGGAAAGGAGAGAGGGTGCAAAAGAAGAGGGCGGAAAATAAGGAAAGGGGTGGAAAAGGAGAAAAAGGGATGGAGAGGGGGTGGGAAAGGAGGAGAAGGAATGGAAAAGGAGAGAGGGTGAAAAAGAGGGAGAGGGGATGGAAAAGAGGTTTAGATCATGGAAAAGGAGAGGGTGGGAGAGGAGAAGGGATGGAAAAGGAGGAGAGAGGATGGAGAAGGGATAGGAAAGGAGAGGGGATGTGAAAAGGAGAGAGATGCGAAAAAAGGAGGGAATGGAAAAGGTGAAGGGATGCAAAAGGAGAAGGTGGAGAAGAGGGAGAAGGGATGGAAAAGAAGGATAAAGCATGGAAAAGTAGAGGGTGGAAAAGGAGAAGGGATGGAGAGGGGGTGGAAAAGAAGGAAAAGGAATGGAAAAGGAGAGAGCATAAAGAAGAAGAAGGGATGGAAAAGAGGGTTAGAGCATGGAAAAGGCGAGGGTGGGAGAGGAGAAGGGATGGAGAAGGAGGAGAGAGGATGGAGAAGGGATAGGAAAGGAGAGGGGATAGAAAGGGAGAAGAGGGGATGGGAAAAGGAGAGAGATGCAAAAAAAGGAGGGAATGGAAAAGGTGAAGGGATGCAAAAGGAGAAGGTGGAAAAGAGGGAGAAGGAATGGAAAAGAAGGATAGAGCAGGGAAAAGGAGAGGGGATGGAAATGATGTGGTAGAAAAGAAGGGGAGAAGAAAAGCAAAAGTAGGGATGAAAAGGAGAAGAGATGGAAAAGATAAAGGGACGAAAAAGTGTGGGTGCAAGAGGAGGATAGAGGGTGGGAAAGCCAGCAGAGAGGGGAGGTAAAACTAGGGGAGAGGCTGGAAAAGGCCAGGAGAGCAGGGGAGACGAAGGTGGGAGTGGGAGGGAAAGGTGGGAAAGAGCCAAAGGGAGCAGAAGAATGAAAGGAAAGGGAAGAAAAAAGAGGAGGAAAAAGAGGGAAAGTGGGAAGGAGAAGTGAGGGAGCGGGTGCGAATAGTGTGGACAAAGGGAAAGAGCGAAGTGGGAGCGGGAGAGCTGGAAAGAGAAAGGAAAAGAGCAAGGAAAAGGGGAGAGAAAGGAAAAGGAAGCGAAAGCGGGTGGGAAAGAGAAAGGGAAAGCTCCTCTCCCTCTTCTCTTTCATTCCCCCTCCATTCTTTTCCCTCCCTTCCTCCTCCCTGAGCCCCATCAGTTTGGGAAGAGCGCCCCAAATCCAGGGATCCATCCCCATCCTTCTGCTATAGTTGTTGGCTTTTCCCATGGGAAAGGCTCTGCCACGGGAACCCTGCCGTTATCCCACCCAATTATATCCTCTTTTCACCTTGAGATCGCTTTTGAGCTCAGTTTAGGCTCGGATTTTAGCTCTGGTCTATGCTGAGATGGGGCCAATTGACTTTTCCTCTCGATTAAATGTTAAAAAACTGGGGAATAATACAGATAATTCTTTAAAAGATTAAGAATTCCACTTTTTGGGAGCAGTATCTGGTAAATCTGACCTAAATTAGCCCAAATACCTCACATAAAACCTCATTTCAAGCTTCCAGCGACATCCCCGTGCCTCCAACCAGCCCCAGCACCGCATTTCGGGTTGATTTGGTTGCGGGTTTAGCCGCAAAAGTAGGTTTTGGGGGCAGTTTAAGCTCCGAATGGGGCATCGGGGCATCCTCAGCACCAAATCTCTGCCATGCAGCATCCCCCGGCTTGAACAAGGACCCGGAGGGGGGGATCCTGGTTTCTGTTCAAGATGCTCATTTATACACTCAGTGTTTAGAAAGGATTATAACAAGGGCTTAGGCTGGGCTTAGGTGCTTAAAGCAGGGATTTATCCTGTGTCGGTGCCGATGGCACCCAGAAAATCACCTTTTTTAGTATCCAAACCCAAAGAAAAAGGGCAAAAACCCGACAAGTTGGGTTTTTTTTTTAAGCAATAAAAATGATAGCAAATAAATCAGAACAGTTGGGATAAAGGGGAAAATTCCCGCTGGGAGGAGGGGAAGGGGCAGCCTGGCTCGCACAAATAAATGGGATTTAGGTGGGAGCAGCTCAGGGATCAAGTCAGCTCAAGCCTAACTCTCAATTCTCCCTGTTTCTCCCCAAAAAGTCCAGTTGGATAGGTTTTGGGGGGGGTGGATTTTGGGAGCAAGACCTCCTCATAGCAAATCTCTGCCTGCTTGGTGCAGCCAAAGCCAGGGATCAAATCCCAGGGATAAAGAGCCCCAATCCAGGCAAATTCCCCGAAGGTTTTGGGCTCAGATTTGGGGTTCATTTTGTTGCTGGCTTTCATCTTTAGTTCAGAATTACCACAGCTGCTGGTTCCCGATGGGATCTGAAGAGATGGGACCCGCCACAGCATTATTCACGAGGCAGGGACCCCCATTCCCTGCATTGGCTCTGTGTTTGGGGAGCTCCCAGTTATCCCCAGATGAAGCTGTTGGGAAAAATGCTGTGTATGCCCATGTTCAAGCTCCCAATCCCCTTCACTGGGGCTGGCTGCTCCGTGCCTCAGTTTCCCCACCCGCTCAGGGATGCTCCAAACCCACTGGTTCACCAGGATTCCCCTTATCCCGGCGTTCCCAGCTGGGAATCGGCACCGAATCTGGCACCAAATCCAGCACCAAAAACTCAGGAGCAGAGTGCTGCTCTGGGGCATTGGGGTGATGTAAAAGGGGTTCAGGGTGACACAAAGGGGGGGTCATGGTGATGTAAAAGGGGTTCAGGGTGACACAAAGGGGCATCATGGTGATGTAACAGGGGTTCAGGGTGACGCAAAGGGGGGTCATGGTGATGTAACAGGGGTTCAGGGTGATGCAAAGGGGTTTGGGGCTGATTGAGAGGGGGTTGGGGTGTTGCAAAGGGGGTTTAGGGGTGCAAAGGGGGGGTGAGGAGATGGTGCTGCTGAGCAAAGGGAGCATTTGGGGGGCGTCTGGGGCTGCACGTCGAGGTCTGGGTGAAAGCAGTCCCCGACCCCGCGATTCCAGGAGATCCCAACCCTGCAGGAGCCCCATTCCCTGGGGACCCCCATTCCCGAGTCCAACCACTGGTGACACTGGGACCATCACGCTGCTTTAGGCTAAGCCAGGCTCAGTGCTGAGGAGGAGGAAGAGGAAGAGAAGGCGGCCGAGCCCCCTGCTTCCCACAAGGAAAACCGACAACAATCCAATGGGGGGGGTTAACCCCGTAGTGGGAAATCTCAAGGGATGGGACCTGAAGGGGAGCTCCTTCTCCCCTCCTCCTTCTCCCCAGCATCTCTGTGGGGACCCTCATTAGCACCAGCAAGGGGGGGATTGAACGGACCCCAAATGCGATGTACCTGTGGGAGCTGGTGGAGCAAGGGCATCACACGGGGTTGGCGGGGTTATCCCCATCCTGGGAGCACATCCCCTGCTCTAACGGGCGGAGGCACCCCAAGGGGCCCCTTAGCCTGCACCCTGGGTGCACACAGGGTTGTGACCTCCTGCTCCCCTCCGCAGCGGTGCAGCGGGGCCGCACGGCTCAAGGTCCCCCCAGCCCCGGGCAGTGCCCTGCGGTCCCCGGGGACCCCTACGGTGGCCGCGGCTGCTTGAGCGGCTTCATCTCGGTGCTGCTCCGCGCCGAGCCGTACCCGCCGGCTCGCTACGGAGCCCAAGCCCTGCACCCCGGCGTCGTGGTGGGCATCGAGAGCATCTGCGAGCTGGCGGCGCGGCTCCTGTTCAGCGCCGTGGAGTGGGCCAAGGGCATCGTCCCCTTCTTCCCGGAGCTGCCGCTCTCGGACCAAGTGGCGCTGCTGCGGCTGGGCTGGAGCGAGCTCTTCGTGCTGAACGCGGCGCAGGCGGCGCTGCCCGTGCACGCCGCGCCCGTGCTGGCGGCCGCCGGGCTCCGGGGCGCTCCCGTGGGCCCCTTCATGGACCACGTCCGGCTCTTCCAGGAGCAGGTGGAGAAGCTGAGGGTGCTGCAGGCGGATGCCGCCGAGTTCGCCTGCCTCAAGGCTGTGGCCCTCTTCAGCCCTGGTGAGGGAGGCGGGGCTTAAAGGGGTGGGGCTTGGTGGGGTTGGGTCCGATGGGTGTGCAGGGAATGAATGGGCTGGGGATGGGGGGGCGTGGTTAAAGAGGGTGGGGCTTAACGGGGTGGGGTTCAAAGGTGTGGGGCTTAATGGAGACTGGAAGGGGGGGCAGGCATCAATGGGAGTGCAAGGGATGAATGGGCTGGGGATGTGTGGGTGTGGGAAAACGGGACGTGGTTTAAAGGGGTGGGGTTTAAATGGGTGGAGTCCAACAGGGTGGGGCTCCAAGGAGCTTAATGGGGAAAGGCGGGGGATGCCAAGGTGTATACATCAATGGGTGTATAGGGAATGAACGGGATGGGGGTGGGTGGGTGTGGCTCTATGGGGTGGAGCTTAATGATGGGGAGGTTAAAGTTGGGGGCCCAAGGAGGGCGGAGCTTAACGGGGTGGGGTCCCAATGGGACCGAATGGGCGGGGCTCGGGGGGGGCCGTGCCTCAGTTTCCCCCCCGTGCAGACGCTGCAGGGCTGTCGCAGCCGGGGCGCGTGGCCGGGCTGCAGGAGCAGGCTCAGGTCGCGCTGCAGGAGCACGTGCGGCAGCAGCACCCGGCCCAGCCCGGCCGCTTCGGGCGCCTGCTCCTGCGCCTGCCCGCGCTGCGCAGCGTCCCCGCGCCCGGCATCCAGCGGCTCTTCTTCAGCCGCCTGGTTGGGGAGACCCCCATCGAGACCCTCATCCGCGACATGCTGCTGGCCCCATGGAGCCACGCAGTGATCCCAGCACTGCCGTGGGGTGGGGAACCCAAAGATGGGGCCATCAAAGATGGGGACACCAAGTATGGAACCTCAAGGATGGGATCCTAAGGATGAGGGCATCAAGGATGGAGGACACCAAGGATGGGACCCCAAGATGGGGCACCAAAGATGGGGACAGCAAGGATGGGACCTCAAGGATGGGAGCCCAAAGATGGGGACACCAAAGGTGTGGACAGCAAGGATGGGACCTCAAGGATGGGATCCTAAAGAGGAGGGCATCAAGGATGGAGGACACCAAGGATGTGACCTAAAGTATGGAAGCCCAAAGATGGGGACAGCAAAGATTGGAACCCAGTGCTGAAACTCCAAAAATGGGGACACCAGTGATGGAACCTTGACAAGGGGATCCCAAAGATGGAACAGTGAGGATTGGACCCCAACAATGGGACTACACAAATGGGGACACCAAGGCTGGGACCTCAATGATGGATCCCCATCATTGGAGCTCAGTGATGGGACCCCAACACGGGGCTACAAAGGATGGGATTCTGGGATCCTGATGGAGGGTTCTGAGTGTGAGATCCCATCAATTCTGCTTGGAATTCTTTGTACTTTTGATGTCTTAATTTATTTGTATTTTTTATTATTTTTACTCACATCTTTACACAATTATTTTTATTTAACATTTTAATTTAAATTTATTTTTGTTTAGTTTTCATACTTTCTTATTTTTTATTTTTAAAATTGTATTTTATATTTCCATTTTACTTTTACAGTATATACATTTTTAATTTAATTTTTATTTATGTTGTATTTTTAATTTTATTTCTAATTGTAAAGGTTTCTAATTTTTTATTTTTATTTGATTTTTTATTTTCTACTTCAGTTACAAATTAATTTTTTCATTTGCTTTTTAATGTTACTTTTCTGTTTTGTTTTTATTTTTATTTTATTATTTCTATTTTTAAAGGGGTTTTATATTTTTATTTTCGTTTTTATTTTTAATTTATTGTTATTTTGTCTTTAAATTTTTTATGTTTTTCTTTTTTTTTTCATTTCAATTTTTATTTTGATATTTCTAATGTCAAGGTTTTATTTTATTCTTTTTAGTTTTTTTAATTTAATTTTAATTTTTTAGGGTTTAATTTTCTTTTGAATGTTTTCGTGTATTTATTTTAAATTTCAAGGGTTTTCCTAATTTATTTTATTTTTTTGGTTAAAAAAAAAAATTGAATTTGACCAATTCCACACTTTGTTTTGGTTGTTTTTTAACTTGTTTGGGGCTGGAATGGGCAGGAATTGGGGCTGGAATTGGCAGGAATGGCCGGTGTTGAGCCCTGGGGCCTCCATCCATGTACCCCCCCCCCCGTATGTGCATTCAGCACTGTGCATGTATGCACGTGTACATGCGTGTACACGCACGCATCCATGTGCTGATGCACACACGTGTGCAGGGTGGGAACAGCTCATGGGGGGATTTATTGGCTCCCATTCCCTGTGTCCTGTTCCCATCCTTAGGTCCTCAGCCCTTCCCTAATCCCATCCTCATCCTCCTCCATATCCCTAATTCTCATCCAGCCCCAGCCCCACTGTTACCTCTTTTCCTGTTCCTATCCTCATCCCAATCCCACCCCCATTCCTGTCCCTTATCCTATTCCCATCCCAACCAACGCAAGCACAAAGGCCACAACCCTGTGTATGCGCTGGCAGGGTTGGGCTGATGATAGTGGAATTGGGATGGAGAGACCGTGGTTGGGAGCAGCAGGATGATGCTGGAGGGAGGCTGGATTTGGGACTCAGCCCTTATAGTAGACAGCAGAGAATCCACCTGGACACAACACCTGGGGCCTCCTGCCCCACGGTCTCACCCCCCCCAGAGGAGCCCAGGGGGGTTTCCAGCAACCTTAATTCCATCAATCCCTTGGTCCATCCCCCCTGGATCCTGCATCCACAGGGCCAGAATCAGGCCAGCCCCTTCCGTGCCTATTTCCCCACCAGCCCTGGCTGGGAAAAGCCAGATAATGGGGAGGGAAAACCGGGATGGGAGTGAAAATGAGAGGTCCTGGCATGGGATGGGATGTCCCACAGCATCGACATCCTCCCAGATGCTCCAAGGGTATCCATCAGTCTGGAACAGCACAGCTGCCCCTTCCCATAAATGCTCCTTAATTCCTGCCAAATCACTGCCCAATTCCAGGGCATGGAAACCAGCTGACTCCATTGCCTCTGGGGAGTGACAGGAGGAAGAATCATTTGCTGCTGACTGGAAAGGGCCATGGGGAGCATTCCAGAGGGACAGAGCTGGCACTGAGATATCCATCCCAAGGCCAGGCAGGTGGGACACCGGGGACAATGTGGAATGGATGGGACCCTGATGCTGGCACTGTGGATGGGACAATGATGTCCTCTGCCTTTGGCCATCCCCAATCCACATGGATTATCTGTGGCTAATAAGAGCAGTGCTAGGGCTAAGAAATCCACCATGGATACAGCATGTGAGGTTCATATCCATGAAATCAGCCCTTCATCCTGGCTTTTATCCCTGTGCTGGGAGGGTAGCATGCACTGGGATGTCCATACCCAGGACCTTATTGCCTTTCCCCCCCCCATCATGGCTGTTCCCCTCCATGGTGCAGGGGGGAGATGGGGATGAGTGGTGAAAGGGATGGATTTGGGGAAGGAGGGATGGACAGACATGGCATCCCACTAAAACCAGGACATTCCAGGTGCTTCTGCAGCCTGCCTGGACTCCATTCAGCTCAGCTATGGGTGAGATTCCCCACTGGAAACCTGTTCCAAGTCCTTCCCAGATAAAAACCCATCAGGCCCACTGGTTTCAACCCTCCTGGTCCGGACACCGGGAACAGGGATGGAGCCCGGAGAGGCAGCCACCAGCGAGATGTGTCATTCCCTGGCTGGGAAACCGTTCCTAAGGGGGGATAGGATAGAGAGGGCTATTGGACACCCGGCCGCAGCGCGGCTCTTGCATGGGCAGGGAAAGGTCAGGCCCTGGCTGGTTCGTTATCGTTAGCGAAGGCCAATTCAATCACAGCGCTGGTGGATGAATCACTGCGGGCAGAGCGGGCTCTTCCCTCCCTCCCCGCCCCAAAGGCTGACAGATTCCAGGCTTCCGGCCACTTTGCCAGATCCTAAAGGACGCGGTAAATCACCGGAGCGCTGCCCATCCATCAGGCTGACAGCCTGCGGAGCGGGGGCACCGCTGCGAAAGGGCAAGGGCTGAGGGGGGATGGCAGCGGGATGGACGGGCTGGGAAGCGTCAGGGATGAGCTAAGAGGGATGGAGTAGCCCCAAACCCAGCCCTTGGTGCATCCAGGTCGTGCCTGAAGCTGCTTCTCCCATCCCGAGGGGGTGCTGGTACAAGGGGAATCCATGGGAATCAAAGCCACGGTTCCAAACTGGGGTCCAAGGGGGAAAGAGAGCTCCTGCCCAACCTCCAGGCTCCTTCTTTCACCCCACGATTGGATGTGGATGGGACATCAAACCCAGAGCTGAGGAAAACTGAGGAGCAAACCACACAAAGTGGGATGGAGCCCATCCATGGGGAGACAGGAAGGATGGAGCTGGACAAGGGGAATCTTTTCTTCCCTTGTTATTCCTTCCCTGCTTTTTCTCCTTGTTTTTAATCTCAATCTAATTAAAAGGGTGGGTGGGAGATAAGAGCTGCCAGGGCCAATTATTCCTATTATTCCCCTTCATAATTCCCAGGAATCTCTCACCCTCACTTCCCCTCAAACACTGGCAAAAGAGATGGGGAAGGGGATGGGTATTAAGAGAAAAGCTTCAGTGGAAAACAAGGTTGGATCCTGTGCATAACCCCATCCCCACCATGGGGGGCCCTGGGCTGGATGAGACCCCCCTGGGGCGATGGGGTGGGTTTGGGATGAGGCTTTGGGTGTCTCCATGTCCTTGGGTGCTCCCACTTGGAAGTGGGATGCTCTGGCTTTGTGCTGGGTGCTGTTAGGATGTGCCTCAGTTTCCCCCACTCCGTACAGAGCAACATTCCCTGTAACCCTCAAAAGGGAAAAGCAGGAGCAGCCCCATGAGCCAGGATCCCCCAGGATAAAGAGGGAAGGGTTTAACCCCCACATTCCTTTGGGGACCTGTTAAAGCAGGATGGATTCAGGAGGGTATTTGGGGAATATTGTCCCATGGCAGCTCCTGGATGCGGCCCCAGCACAGGAGAGGTTGAGCCCTTCCTCCACCTGCATGCATGGCTGGATCCAGGAGATGGAGGGATGGAGGGATAACTCTATCCCTGAGTGCCCATCGGATCCCACGTCCTGGAGCAGCATTAAAGCAGCCATTGCCACATCCCTGTTTTCCATCACCTGCTCCTCCTGTTGCTTGGGGTTTCTCTCCCTTCCCATTGCTGTTTTGGTGATCCCAGTTCAGCCTTTCCCTCCGGGAAACATCAGGATAACTCATGGGATTCAAGTAATTCATATCATTGCAGCTGCAAAACTGCTTCCTCATTCCCTTCTTTTGTGCTCCCAAAGTCCCTTTGATTTAAACCCAGGAGAGTTAAATCCCTCTTTTCCTCCTGTTTACAAATCCCAAAGTAACCTTTATCAAAAGCCATATTATAGGAAATCTATCCAATTCCTACAATACAAGGACAGGGACACGTCACATCGACGGGCTCGGAATGTACAATGAGGCGCTTTGGATCGGAGCGCACCAGCTTTGAGCAGTGGCTCTCAGCACATACATGGGGATGAACCCCCCATTCAGAGGAGATTCCTGCCCTGTGGCATGAAGGAAGAAATGATATCCTAAATTAAATGAATAAACAGGAATGAAATCCCCCCTCATCACTTTTAGCTCCCAAGCTCATTGCTCTAAAGAGGTAACTTGGTTTGAATTTCCATGCTTAGCTCCCCCCCACCACCCCTGAATTCCAAGTATTTCCAAAGGGAAAAACTCCAGGCAACAAAGTCATCCCAAATCCAAACTTTCCAAGGGTTTGGATCCTTGGATCCTTTCTCCTTTATCCCTCAGCATCCCGGTGCTCATCCTGCTTCCCCTCCTCTGGCTGTTTTTGGCACCAGCTCGATACCTCCTTCCCAAATCCCATTTTCCTGCCAGCA